GGGCAGGGACGCCATCTTCTCCCCCGGGGCTGTTCCTTTCCCGCCCGCGGAGAGCGAGGTGTCCCTCCGCTCAGGGCCGGGACTCGGACCCGCCGCAGGGGCCTGCGGAGGCGTTTAGGTCGGTCCCGTCAGCTCCCTCGCCCGCTCCCCGCCAGCCCGCCGCAGCTCGGACCCTTCCTCTCCCTCGGCCCAACAGCCAGGCCGGGCCCTGCCCCGTAGCTGTCACCTGTTGAAAAAACGGAGCAGATACTGAGATAGCCTGTCCTGGACCTTCCTACCATTGAAGCATAGTAAGAAGGGTGGTTTGTGAAATAGATTTGGCAAGAATTTTGTCTTAAGTCTCTGCTTTCTCTTGCGAATGCCCACACATACGCTGCAGTGCGTACCAGTGGAAGTTTGTCCAGGTCCCCTTGGACCATGGATGATTCATCTTCCCTCTCTGTCCAGGAAAATAAAAGTCAGATTCTTGTCTAACTTGACATGAATATGAGAATTACACATCCTGTACCAACTTCTTGCTTTGTATCCAAACCTCTAAATGTGGCATTACTCTGTAGGTGGAGAAAAACCTAAATTGGGTCACTCTGAGAAATTGCTGGTCACCTCTGACAGTCTGAAACTCTTTTTCAGATCAGTTTCCACTGCTAACAACAAAGAGGGTATTCTGGAAAGGGGTGCTGGAGGAGCTGCTGTGGTTCATCAAGGTTTGGCATTTGGATGTCTCTGTGGGTGGTGTGCCTGAGGGTGATACCAACAGAACGAACTAGTGTGGAGTGGATTAAAAATTTTGGAGTAGCTGCAAATGCTTCTGTTCGTATGAAAGAACAGAAGAAGTATAACCATGGAATATTTTGACTACACATGGAAGGCCATTGTCTTCAAGACATTCTGTACATTTTAGTGGAGACTATTGCATTGTTACCAATCAGAGGAGTTCTTCTGTTTCTTTTTAAGGGAAATAGTCTGAAATAGTGAGGGCTTTTGACAATTGCCTATACCCCACAGTTATAAAGCCTAGTATAGTCTCTTTTATTAGTGTTTGAATAAGAAATAGTAATATGAAGTAGACTGTAGGCAATTTAATGATCTGCTTTTTAGTATTGAGGTAGCTTTCATTGATTTGAACAGAAACAAGAGCTGAACCACAGGTGAAGTAAGACTGATGTAAGCACTAGACTTTTTAGTAGCAAAAACCTGAGATCTTATAGAGCTGATAGCTGTAGTTAGAGTATTAAGATTCACTGTAGATAATACATTACGATGTAAGTGTTGCTTTATACGTTGTGACGTTGTCCAGGTATGGGAAAGTCTAACCATTTGCTCGTTTGCTAGATAGCAGGACTCAAATACACTTTTTTCTTTTTGAAGTGTCTTTTTTTAAAATATAAAACACTAGACAGTCCCCAAAATGGGACACTGTCTATGTTGGATTTTTGAGTGTGCTAATTTGGACATGTTGCAGAACTCAGTGAGATTTCTCTGGGTTATTTTGTCATTTTTGTCACTTTAACAAAAGGATCTTTAAGACCTTAAGCTCATTATAGGTGTCTTGGCAAAGACAGTGCCTAGGCTCTAAATTTTTTGTTTGTCTGTTTTATCCATCTGTAGAGTAAAATCTTGTTCTCTGCAAATTTGTGTATGAAATGATATACCACAGTTGACCTTGAGACTGTGCTGTTTGTGCATTCACAAAGTTAGAAGAATCCTGAGTTAAATAATAGCAGCGTGACGCTTCAAACTTCATCCTAGTACGTTCCTGATAAGTTTTATTCTGTCCATGTGCAAAAACTTCATCCAGTACATTAATCAAACTGTTCATCCTTTGTAAGTGGATAAATACTGTAGACTAGCAAAGCTTAATACAGCTGTTTCAAATCATGTCCTCTGTGTTAGGATTAGGATGTAGACTTCTTACTGTCTGTGTTTTGTAGGGTTCTACAAACGCTAAAGAGCTCTCTGCAAAGGGTGTGAAGATTTGGGATGCTAATGGATCGCGTGAGTTCCTGGATAAGCAGGGTTTCAGCACCAGGGAGGAGGGGGATTTGGGACCGGTTTATGGTTTCCAGTGGAGGCACTTTGGAGCAGAATACAAGGACATGCACACAGGTAATCACATACAAATACAGTCTTGATCACTTAGTGATACGACTGTCACCTCCCTTCCAGAATACCAATGCAGGGTCCTAATTTCCGTGATATAATTGTGCTGGCAAGAACTGATGTCAGTGCACTACGTTCATTGGAGACTATGGAAGAGAAAGATTTTTCCATTCTGCAGCTGGAACGATATAGGATGTATCCACAGCTGATGATGGTGTGGACAGAATAGCTGTAACAAGTTATGATGTGATGCAGTACCTGTTGCTATTATTTTCAGGGAAACTGGTTCATTAAACTTAACTGTGAAGCGTCTTGATGGCTCTTTTCTAACTTGCTGAAGAAGAGGATGTGCAAAACATTTGGAGGACTGCCATTAAAAAAAAAGACTCAAGAAAAGATTGTCCCTACCTGGTTGGTGTGATCTTTAACTCAGAATAACAACATGGTTAATTATATTTTCTCCTGTTGGTTTTTTGTCAATACAGTCTCAAATTAAAATTCACGTTAGTTACAGATAGTAGATTAGTATTGGCATGTTGACCGCTGGCAGGACACAGTTTTACGCTAACAGAAGTGATGCAAATTGTGAACTGACATGTCTAAATACTTAATAAAATGTTTTAGCATTCCTGAACTTAAAAGGTCTGAGGCACCACAGTTTGGAAAAAACGAACAAGATAAATTCCCATAGGTTTCATTACCGATGGGTTTCCTTAAGTCACATTACTAATGGATAGGTAATTAGCTTCAGGAACTAACATAACCATTTGAGAAGGCTTCTGGCACAGCATTGCTGGCAGAAGAATTCCCTGAGATGCTAATTATATATTACTAACTTGTTTGCCAGCTTGAGTCTCCCTGCAACCATAATTTGGTGTTGCTTTGCAATAACAGTTATTAGAAAAAATTAGTTACCAGCCATACCGATTCACTGGCATGAGTCAGAACAAAACAACTAATGACTCTTTTGTTCTGGAATCCATTCTAACGTTCAGTTAATTCCAGTGAATTTCTCATATAACTGGTATTAAGCCTAAAAATCATCCTGCGAGCGTCATTGGGTGAAATGTAATATCCTCTGCTATACATGATTAAAGTTCCCTTCTGGCACTGAATGCTGTGGAAATTTAGTTTTCATACATGACCTTGTGAGTGCTGGATGGATGCGTTTATTCATCTGTCAAAAACTTCCTCCTTTTGAGCATGCAAAGAATGCTGGCACCCCATGTTACTGGTCTCGGCATATTTTAGTTCTGTTTTGGTTTTTTTTTTCCAAGAAGGAGCACAAGTAGCATGCAAGTTTAACATTTAGAAAGACATCTTAATCCAGAAATGCAATGAGCAAATTACTTTAAATACCGTGAATGACTAGGTGGTAATATCTTGCCCATTCCAGTACAGCTTTTGTCCTCTTTAGGTAACAAGTCATCGTGAGTGATGAATTAACATGCTTTGTCCAATTAGGTTTTTTGTATTGCAGCTTTTGTTTCCTGGGATGTAATGTTGATGCAGACTTCTTACTTGGTCTTAAAAAACGGCTAGTTCTTGAGGCTTGGAATAAAATGTTCTAAACAGGAATGGTCCAGTTTCAGTGGGTGCTAAAGGTACTCAAAGCACTCAAAAGAGATGGAGGGACACAGGAAAATGTCATCATGAGAGTATCACAAGCCTTAGAGCACCCTAAGAAGAACCAGGAATAACCTACATTCGGAGGCTGCCAACAGATAAATTTAATCCCTTTCAAAGTTACAATAAAATCTTTATAGAGGTTTTCATTTGGGTATTACTGTTCAGTGGGATGTGGGCTGGGCTTTAAAAAAATATCATGACTTGAATCTGTCTGGCTTAGATCATATTTGGTTTCTTTCTTCAGATTACTCTAACCAAGGAGTTGATCAGTTGCAAAAGGTGATTGAAATGATCAAAACCAATCCAGATGACAGAAGAATCATTATGTGTGCTTGGAATCCCAAAGGTATTGGAACAGCAGACTTTTAAGTTAACACAGTTGTACGTTATCTTGCTGGATGCTAAATTATGTTCTAATCCTGTGTCAACAGTCAGGTCCATTTGGTGTCCTTGCTTGTTCTTTATAAAACTATCAGGAATGCAGTAAAAGGCAAAGGATAATAAGCTTGGTTCTCCTTCTATTTAATTCTCATGTTCAGACCTCAAAAATTTTGAACCATTACTTCAAAGTTTTTCTCTCCAGGATAAAGTGAGGGATATACCTGGCTACCAGCGTCTTTGACATACAGTCTCTGTTAAAACGCAGCAATTCTTACTTTAAACAGGTTAAAAAAACAAAACCAAAAAAGAGTATACTGAAGCAGTGTGTCTGTTTTTTAGCCATATAATAAATTCTAAACTTACAAAAACTTTAAAACTAGAGAAAAAAAAAATTATTTGTGTTTTAATGACTTCCTTGAACATAGGCTGTCTAGATATCCGTTCGCTTTGTAGGGCTGCTTCTAAATAAGAGCTAATGCCAGAGAATGTGTAACCAGCAGCAGTAGAGCTGTGCACAAAAAAAATCACCTAGCATTTTCCACTCAAGGCTCTGAAAGGGGATGCCACATGCTGTTGCTGTTATTTTCAAGGTTAAACATTCTCAGATATCAGGAGATGCCTGGTTAAAGTTCTCCTTACCTAGCTGTAAATGCGCTGTCTGCGCTTTTAAGTGTAGATAAACGCTCAAAAGATCTTTTTGTTTTCTGGTTATTATTTTTTTATTGATCATTACTTTTATATCTCAACAAGCAGTAAAGGCACGTTGTGATGGGAAGAGAGTAAGATGAAGCAGTTGGAAGTCACTTTAGGGTACATGTTTAATTTTACTCTTAATGTCTTCCTTTAATGAAATCAACTGTTGCACTGAGGTGAGTAGAACTAAACTGCTGTGCAGCATTATGGCATAAATCTGTTCTCTGGAATATCTGTTTATGACTTTTCTGGTCATACTGCCCAGGAGACAGCTTGTCATGACCCAGACTTAATTGCTTAGGCAGCAGGTGCTTTTAAAGAAGAGAAAAAGCAACAGAATGACAGTGCAGTTGGATTTTTGCTCTCTACTGTATCTCATTAAATGCTTGTTCGGGTTTTGCATCTTCTACATTTGTAACACACTAATGCTGCTATGATTGTTTTTTTTCCCCTCCTTCCTGTACTGCAATTCCCAGATATTTCTTTGATGGCTTTGCCTCCATGCCATGCCCTTTGCCAGTTCTATGTTCTAAATGGTGAATTGTCTTGCCAACTCTATCAGAGGTCTGGAGATATGGGACTAGGAGTGCCTTTCAATATTGCCAGCTATTCACTGCTCACATACATGATTGCCCATGTCACAGGGCTAAAGGTAGGCTACTCAGTCATTTTACTTAATCTTGTCTGAGAAGTGAAGGACTAAAGATAAGACTCTGGTCTTATCTCTTGATTGACTCTTAATAAAACTCATGTCATGTCCAAGAAGTGCAATGAACATACTGTTCAAAATCTTGCTGAAATATGTGTGAGAAAGGGCCCCCTGAATTTAATGTGAATTGTTTCTGTTCTCTATGGGCAGATAAGATGAGCAATGTAAGAGTTCCTAAATTCAGGTCAAACAGATAGAAGATTCACCAGGTCTTTTTAACAGAACATGCCAAAACTGACCTGTTCCACTAGACTACTTAGAAACTTGAACTGAGCACTTGTCCTTATGGAATAATAATATACAAGTGATTAAATTTTGTAGCTTGTGTCTTTTATTGGAAGCAAACAGTAGCTCAGCGGTTGCTGTCAAGGTTCCAATTTGGGTATTCTGCCCACCTAACTTCCAGCCGTAATTTCAGTTGGGTATTTTTTTCATTTCTTGTTGTAGATGATTATATGGAGTGGTAGTGTTTGCTCAAGTAGCTACTGCCCTGACTCCAGAGCTATATTTTGTGATTTGGCAGAGTAATATAAATGTACCACAACCCTCTACAAACAAAACGTGCTTTTCTTTAGAGCATATGAAAAATTATACTATCAAGGCCATTTGGACCTGATCCTCCTCCTACCAGTAACACAGAATCATAGAATGGTTTGGATTGGAAGGGACCTTAAAGATCATCTAGTTCCAGTGCTGTTGCCATGGGCAGGAACACCTTCCACTATATCAGATTGCTCAAAACCTCGTCCAGCCTGGCCCTGAACACTTTAAAGGGGAATTTAAAATAGAGAAGTAGGGAAGAACCAGACTTCACAGCAATTGCAGACCTGCTTAAGAAATTAGGCCAAGGTACTAGAAAAAAGTGAGGTTTAACATTATGTCCATAAAGCAGCTGTTGCCTCTCAGCCACCTCTCTCACAGCTTTGGTGGGTTTTAGCAGGATATTTCCAAGGGCTGATCTACATTGGTCAGAGGCCAGTAAAACAGACACCTATTTTTAAAACTTACCTAAGTTAAATTAGATTGCTCTGGGGCTGCTGAGTTACAGAACTTGCAAGCTTGCAAAAATCTGGATGCTTGATAAGTGCTTTGGGATTTAGCCTGTGACTGACACCTCCACTGCCATAAACTATGTTGTTTAGTAGTGACTAAGGCAACTAGTTTGAAACCAGCTTTGGCAAGTCCTGCCTACTAGAAGTGGAGTGGAAAAGTTGAATGTCTCTGCTCCATCTGTTTCCATCTTGGTGACCAGATTAGTAGTACTCCATTCGTTTACTGAAGCTATTATCCTAGCAGGATTTCAAAGATAGGTTTTTTGTAAGATAGTGGAAATTTCACTATATTTTTCATGAATTATGCATTAGTCTGGGAAGATAGTGTCCTTTGAAGCTTGCAAGGATGTCTTGATAATCCAATCTAGAATCCAGTACAGAAGCTGCAGTTCCGTACTACATAGATGTAAGACGCCAGGAATCAATAGTGTAAGCATTGTAATGTTTTGCTTTCCTGAAACCTGACTATTTGAAGACCACATGTATCCTCCTTTCTCTTCAGCCTGGAGAGTTCATACACACATTAGGAGATGCTCACGTATATCTGAATCATGTGGAACCTCTAAAAGTTCAAGTAAGTACTTATCTGCATTCTTGTATCCTTTTATCTTCCACAATGCTTATCCAATACAAAGTTGTCTTGGTATTACAAGTATCATTTTGCAAATATTAATTTGTGTAGCTTTTCTTCTCATTTCTACCCTAATAATTGTAATACCTTAACCTCTGTTGAACTCAGGTCACAAACAGAAACACAACACAAACGTGATTGAAATGTACATCAGCGTACTACTCTAGAACCAAGTTAGAGATCCAGAATCTGTACCTCTACTTTTGACTTCATCATTCCAAAACCTTAGCAAACCATCCCACCTAATACAGATAAACACAAAATAAAATGTCTTTATCATATATCAGAAAAGGATAACTTACCAATTCACAGAGTTAATCAGTATGACTGTTTGGCTGAATGAGGCTGTATTTTCTTCAAACCATCCAGAGAACTCGTTGTTGCTTCGGACCCGAACATACCTGTGAGAAACTGCAGCATGTTTGTTGCACATCTGGGCCAGAATTTCCAATTTACTTTTCTCTGGAAGGAATCTAATCTGTAACCACCAGAATTTCTCTGCAGACTGAAAGTGCTTGCAGTGCATTTGGATGATTGGGGAATCCACTTTAAAATTATGCTACTGCTCCCTGTCAAAACACTGAAGTAGATTCCACCTATTTGTATTACAATTATTTTTTTTTTTTAGTATAAGTCTTCTTGGGGAGGAGGGAAAATCTGCATAGCATAATCTGAATCGAGATTAATGAGATCTGATTTATAACACAAAATCTCTGCTTCCAAGTATTAGCTTTGTACAATAAGCTTGCTTTTTTTTCAGCTTCAGAGGGAGCCAAGACCTTTCCCCAAACTTAGAATTCTTCGTAAGGTTGAAGACATCAGTGACTTTAAGGCAGAAGACTTTCAGATTGAAGATTATAATCCTCATCCACCTATTAAAATGGAGATGGCTGTTTAATGCTATAAACCAGCTTCTATTAATATGGAAATGTACCTAAGCTACTTAGCTTTCGCTGTGCTTAAAGTTATGGGGGTTTTATATCCTTCAAAAGATACAAACTTTATTATTGCAAAAGAAAGAGATACTAGTAGACCAGTACTGCTTTCATTACTAAACCGTAGTCACACAGAACAGATGATTATTTGTTCCTGTTGTACTGCGCAGATACTAACCCAGTTTTACATTGTCAGTGAGATAGTTTTCTACACGTTTCAGTTACCATTGGCCACTTCTGTTACCCTTCAGTTACTGTGTGTGAGTAGCACTTGCTTACATGCTTTATTTAGTACTGAAAATAGAGAAGGCCTTCAAGGTTGTAGAAGTCTTTAAATATGTTCTGAAGAGTATATGTTTAATAAAGCTTTCTAAAAAAAATCTTCTGTAAGGGATGATGCATATGTGATTTTAACTATGTTTGTTTATAGGTAGTAGTAAATAAGAACTGGAAAGCAAAGGTAAATTCTGTTTTACTTCAGGATCTTGGAGGGTGAGATTTAGCAAGGCAAAACAAACTTCCCATGGTCTTCATAGATGAACAAGACAAAAGATCTTAATGAGCCTTGTCTGAAATGCCATCTCTGCCTAACATCTCTGTATCAGCATTTTTTTTTAATTCCTCAGTTCTACATGAATGATGAATCTGGTGTAAATCAAACAGAGCTGTAGTTAAACAGAGGTTACCAGATAGTATTAGTAATAATCTGTCTGTCATCATTTAAAACCAGAAACCACAAACATATGGACTAATTTTGCAGCATGGAGCAGTAAAAGTTAGAGATAGTTGTATTTGTAGGATTGGAGCTTATTAATTTAATCTCAGCAGAATTCAGCTTTCATCTCTCCTTATCCTTGCAACTTCCGCAGTAACTTCAGTCTTTATAAAATTCCTCTTCAGGAATTCAGCTGTGGATAGGTCTATGGTTAATACTCAGACATAGCATATTCAATACATGTTTGAACACATGGACAAATGCATAGTGATCTTTTGATTAATTTTTGAGGTCAGTAAACTGGTAAATATCATTGTAAAATTCTACAATTTGATATAATGCTAAGAATTAAATAAACAGTGTGCTTTGATTCCAGTCATTCAGAGGCCTGAAAAAGAGGACCATTGCATCTTTCTTGAACCAAACTGCTAATAACTTTCAAAAGCATATTTTGCATCAAAATTATTTGTGAATCTCATTATACTGATATTCATTATACCAATCACTGATCTTAATACTAATTTTTCTGTAGTGCCATGTCATGTGCTCAAAAAATAAGTTGTTGTTCTCTTTTCCTGACAGCCCAGCACAACAAAATTGCAGAAAAAGGATGTCATTACCTTTTGTAAGAAGTACATCAAATGTAAATAGGCCACTGCTTATTAGAAAGATTCTCCTCAATATCTACTGTAGTCCATCTTTCTTGGACAGAGGTGATCAGACTACATGCTCTTTCAGCTGAGATCATATGAGAAGCTTGATACATGGAAGGATCAAACCTCTCTTTTTCTGAGGCTGCATTAAATGGACACTCAGTAGCCAACCTGTAGTTAAACCCACTTGGGTCTTATCTTCTTTCAGATTACTGAACTCACAGATAGTAGCAGTATTCTTGTTACTAGACCTGAAAGCCATGTCACATGCTCCTTTTATCAGCTCAGCTCTACTAGTCTTATATTTTAAATATAAGTCACCTAGTTCAGATATTTCAGGTGTCATCTGCATTAATGATACCTCCCAGCTGTAGGTTGTCAGCAGCTCATTACCATGTGCATACTTTTGTAAATTAAAGGTTCTTGAGTGTATTTACAGTCCTCTAAAGTACAAGAAAACCGTTTAGATTGCAAATTTGCTTAACAGTTCTGCCTACACTTAGCAAGTTAAGTTCCTTTTGCTGGAAAGCGCTTCATGTCACATGTCTGATCAGGTGGAATCTGCAGGGCATTTCAGCAATCATGGCCAGAGAGGACATGAAACAAAATGTTGGCCTCAGGGCTTGACTAGTGGGAATTAGCATTGTCAGTGAAGTTAACCAGGAGAGGAAGACTGAGCCAAGAGAAGAATTTGGAATGGGAATCACCTACTGCCTTTCACAAATTAAAGAGGAGTTAATCCAATCAGAAGGAAAACATTAAAAACCCCTTTAAGTATTACCTTTATGAAAAATGACAAATGGTCTGTTCTCCCATAGGTGTACTGACATACATAGCATGCTTAAACAGACCAATATATAAAGCTCTGGAAGAGTTACTGCTTTTCAGTACAGGAATTAACTACAACTTCCCCTTAATCAGTGCAATTTACTTACTGCCAAAAGCAGTTGTTGAAATGAAGCCTGGACCTTGAAGTCCAAGATTTATGCTGCTTAAAAGATCAGAAATATGTAAAAAGCAGACTTTACACAGAAGACTTCGATGTGAATGAAAATGAAAATACACTTATTTTAAATTAGTGGATATGAGACTTCTGTGATTTCAAGGAAAAAAATTAATATTCAAAGAATTTGAATATATAGACTTAAAAAGGAGATACTCAAGGAATTTTTATTTGCAGAATATGAAAACTGTTCACTGCTGCAAAGATGACTAGTATGACTGCAGGCTATATTCAGAGCAGCATTTTAGACAAAACATGGGACACTTAGATCCTTTTGGGAAGATATGAAAGGAACCCATAGGCCTACTGAGAGAAGGGAGTATTTGTGGACTTAGGTCCTGATGAATAAGCTGTCCCGGCAGCTCTCTGTCCCTCACACTCTCCCGCTGATGACTTAAAGAGCTGTACAGGTGGCATTAGAAGTCAGTTCCTTACCAGTTCTGCATATCCATAGCATTTTGAGTCCTTGCTGTTTACCCTGCTGACCACTACACTATTTCTGCCTCACAATTTGGCCTTGAAGAGTTTCTTCTCTTCTGTCCTTCCTCCTCTGAATGCATCCTTTTATAATTTGCCAGCTTTCCAAGGGCAATTCAATCAACTTGGAGATAGCAAAGAAATTTCTTACCACTTTGCTCAACTCCCTCTGTGCTCTAGCTTCTTAGACAAACTTTCAAAACCCATGTTATTTCTGACATGTTATATGTTGCAGAATTGGCCTTACTGCAATACCAGAAAGAATATTAGTTACCTGATCATGATAGATGAGGGGTCAGAAAAGAAGGAACTCTTTCTGAATTTTGACACAAACACCTACCTGATCAGCCATGAAAATCAATAGCCTGACTAATTAATTAGTCTTGACTTGGTAAATTTGCCACCATAGTGACTGCCATCTGTGATGTGTCTGACTATGGAATACAGCCCAGGTTTCAAGTACCTTTATCAAACCCACAAACTGTTCACTTTCACCTGCTTGAAGTTTAATCCCCACTTCTAACTTCTGTTTGTAGCCCACAGGTAGGTGGGCATGTAGGGTAACAAGACAAATGCATGCTGAGACCACCATGTAGAAATATCTTTTTTAAGGAAAAAAAAGCACAATCACCATAGTCAATTGCTTCTGGAGTATTTTTTATAACTAACCTGCTTTCAAGGCTTTCACGTACTGGGATATAATCAAGTGCTGGACTAATTCACATAGTCCATTCTAGAGAAAGACAGTGCCCAATACCAAGACATCAAAAGCTTTTTGGTGCAGCCCTACAGCATGACATAAAAGAAAGGAAATTACAGCAGTGCATGCAAGCTTATGCTCAGAAACCGCAAGCACGACAGCTGAAGAAACTAATCAGACTAGCTTGGAGGGTGGGGAGATAAAGATTTTTGCCTTGCTGCTGCATTTTGCAGAGCCTTACTCTGGAACTTTTTGGCTATCAGCAGCACAGACAAGTTTTTGTTCACACTTCCAAGCCTGCAGCTGTCAATTTGGATATAACTCAAGGCCTTAGCTTGCAGAAGCTGTTTAAATATCACTCTGTTGTGGCAAAGTAAGGGAAAAATAAAAAGTTAAGACCTGAAGTCTCCCAGATTAACATATTAGAAGAGCTGCTGGCAGCTCATATAAAAACATTTGTACAGTGTCCCTCCTGAGTGTCTCAATAAATCCAAATTATTTTAATTACTTGAAATGAGACATCACATGAGAATTTGGATGAAGTGAAGTTGAAGGATGTTGCCAATATTAAAAATAATCAGCTTCTACTTGTAATGTTAAAAGCACCACACCTGACACAATGAACTGAGGTACACTGAAAAAAAAAAAAAAAAGTCACTGTATGCCAAAGGGCATAGCTGTACTGGAATGAGTTTGGAAATGACTGCCCCTTAACTGGATGTTGAACCGCATAAGTGAAAGTGAAGCGAAAATGCCAAGTGAAAATGGCTCTTCCATTCCAGGACAAGGACAGGGGCTTAGCCTGCACAAAGGCAGCTGAGTTTGTAGCAAAACTATTAGGTAATGCTGATCAGGCAGCTCTGCCAGATAATTGCCTCATAGGCTACCTCAAAATCTTTTTAGGATTTAGACTCCTTTAGGAGCCAACTCAGCCACCTCTGGTCACCCAACTGTGTCCCCAGGCAGGGACTTGGGATATGCTGAGGACTGGACTGTCATAGCCCCAGTTCAGCATGCTCAGGACCGCATAGCTTTAGGATGTGCTTGTCTATGTGAATGAGCAGCTATTCCCATTTTGAGACAGCTAAAGTGAATATAACAGTGATCCTGCTGTAAGAAATCATTCCTTCTTCTGGATACCAGTGCAGCCAGATGAGAGATGGCCTTGTAGACATGATACACTTGGATAAGAGTCAGGATTCAATTTCTAGCTGTGCTACAGATTTCCTGTCTGGAGCTTGGCTAAGTGGTTCGGTCAGTTCAGGCCTCACGTTAATTTTCTGTGTTTGTAATGCAGGTAATAGTACTCCTCTTATTCACAGGGGAATTCTGTGGATAAATACATTAAATGCTTATGTAGTTCTCAAACATTATGATGAAAGAAAAAAAAGGTTATACAAACCATCAAGTAAAGCTAGTACTCAGGACTGGCCTTTACTTTGTAAAGCGAAGCTGTACTGACAAGTAATTCAAACCCATCCAAATAGATGTTCATTATAAAACACCCACCTCCCCAAATTAAGTGTCCTATCTACTGGTAGAAAACAGCTGAGAGCGAGAAGCACAGTGAAATATGCTGATAGCAGGGCTTGGCATGAGAAACTGGCAGCAGAGAAACTATGCTAATGCAGTCACTGTTGACTCCAGTTGCTGCAGAGAACCGAGAATTTGTTAATTCACATTGTTTGGCTCTGTAGATTTGGTGTCAAGATTTGGCAAAAAGATGGGTGAAGTGAAAAGCAATGTACTTTAGGTTGAAGACTGGTATTCTAAAAGGTACCAGCCCATCTATTGACACCTCGCTATTTATGATATATCTGGGAATTAGTGCTGGTCTTTGGACTTGCTAAAATTATTTCACGTGAAAAGTATTTAAACATAGCTAATGGCAGTGACTTACTGCTAATGCCAGCAATGATTTTCCTTGGGGAAAGGAAAGGTTCCAACCTTATAAAATGCTGCACATACACCGGCCAAATTCCTCCTAAGGCCAGGCAGGGCACTAACTCACCCTGACGAGTCTCAAGTCGAGGCCTGCACACTCTGCCCACGGGCCTTATTTCTGCCTGGGCTGCGTTACAGGTGTGCCTGCTTCCAGCTGTGGCACAGCTGTGGATGTGCCTGGTCATGGACCAACATGCCAGCCTGTCCTGGTGATGGTGGCCCTGCCTGGACACACCCTGGGCTATGTCTGACCTTGGTTCCCCTCAGCAGGCCTGATCCTGAGCCTGCTGCCCCACGGGGACCCTCTGTAGCTGCGGGTCCTCTGGGAGCAGCTGGCACCAGTGGCGCCCTGCTGGTTACCTGGGGCTGTCTGGTGCCCTCCGCCAGCCCCGCAGAGCGGGCCCGTGCTGTGAGCGGCCATACCCTGCAAACCCGGCCTGGCTCTGCGCTCCGATCCTCCCGCACCACCGGCCCCTGCCCAAACCCAGGCCTCTGAGGGAGCCCCTCACAGGGGAACTCCAGGGCTCCTCAGGGGCCATGTGAGAACCGCCCCCCCTTCACTCCCCATAAGCCTGCCCAGCCTCTGGGGCGACTCAGGGTCTGCCCAAGCCTCCCACCTGGCTCCACCCCCTCCGCCACCTTCCTGTCCTGTTTCCTTGTTTCCCTGCCCTGGTCCTGTGTCCCCTGAAATGCACCCTACACCCCATGGCAGTTAAATCACTCTCAGCAAAGTCCCCTCTGAGCCCAGATCTCTGCCAGGTGAGAGGACACATCCCTCGGGGGAAGCTGCTGTCTGGGCACTGAGGGCAGCAGCGGCCCTGTCTGGCCCAACCAGAGACCTTCCCACCCCACAGCTGCCCTCGGGACCCCACCTCAGCTTGGGCCATGGCCCTCAGTCCCACCCGAGCTGCCCCTGGATGTGACTGTCTCCTGTGGCACTGCAGCTGTGCCAAGCCATGGACCTCCCTGAACCGCAGGCTGAGGGCCCAGCTCCACCTGGGCTCAACTCCGTCATGGTGGATGGGCTGGCAGTCACTGGGCTAGACCCAGCCCTCAGAGCCATCTCCTCACCACGACCTCATCCAGCAGCCTTCTCAGCTGACCTGGCTGGGG